ATACACCACTTATTTCCTCTAGCTTATTCCCTCAATGCCCTCTTCTCTAAAAAAATAGCTTCCTAAAGGATTTTAGACCATTTTTATAGTGTTTACAATCCTTACAAAAAGCATGAAATATATTTGATTGTATTGTATTGCATGAGGCAAGAGTGGATTAATGCACAGAAGATTTGCCAGGATTTTTAAGGCTAGTTTTAAAAGGCTCCATTTTTTATGATTCTGCGACAAAAAATTCTGCATGTTAATATCTGATGGTGTGCTTCAGGGGTCAACTTGCTTGACGAAACGAATAGTTTTTAATGTAGCTTTTCTATATGGCTATTTACCTAAAATAAGAATTGGAAATATAAGTTCTTCATTACTAGGCTTCTTAATCCTAGATTTTAAAATCTCAGCTGACATATGGAACATATCATGGGTGATCAAACAAGATGGGAGCGACAAAAATTAAACAAAGCAGGTAGAAAATTAGCTGGGTGTTCTCCTAATCTTAACAATGGCAATTTTAACAGGAACGACTCATGCTGAGAAACATGGGTTTCATGGTATGTATTGAAGTGTTTATTTGATCGCCCTGTAGCTTGCTAAGAGCGATGCCCGTTTATACTCTGCATTTTCAGGAGAGCATCGACATCCAGAAAGCATTGTTAAATACCTCCCAAACCCTGGCGCATATGCACGGGTTACAAATAAATCATGAAAGCCAATCAAGGCCATCACACATTAGTTAAAGCCAACTGAAATCATTGGAAGGTCGCTAGTTATCATATTGTTCTAAGTCCTTAAATATATCCAAAGCAGGGCCGGATTTAGGTTTGATGGGGCCCTAAGCTACTGAAGTTAATGGGGCCCTTTATATGTCCAGCTGTCCATTGTCAACAACAAATTATCTCTGTTTGCGACTTCCGGGGTGGCGCCATCGGCAATGGCGGACTCCCTCTGAACTGGAGGGACTAGCTCCGCGGGAAACGGGTCTTCTCCGCCACGGCGAAGCGGGGACCCTTTCAAAAATCACAGGCGGATGAAGCCTGTGACCATGGGACTTGGCGGGCACCTTTAGCGCCCCCCCAACTCACTAAGGAACCCACTAACGGGCTCCGAAGTGAAGAGGGGGAAGTGGCGCGGTGCTGTGAGTCAACTGCTATTTCCGTGGAGCGAAGCCGCATAGCCGTTGCCAGAGAGCGCTGCCTTTTTCCTGGGACAATTTGGACTCTAAAATAAGCACCCGTGAGTACTTAGACTTTGAACAACTGGACATTAGATGGGGACTTGCCAGCAGAAAGGAATTGGATTTTAAAAATCTATTTCAATTTGGTATGGAACGGGAAGGTCTAAACAGGAAGTCAGCCTTCCGTTCTTCTGTAGACAGAATAAAGCAAAGACAACGTAAACTAGAGCTCAGAAAATCGCTTTTAAAGGATTGGATTTCATCATTTAAAATTGTGGAACCCCCCTTCGACAGCAGGAGAAGAAGGGGGATCTTTTTTGGATTGTTTAAAGTGAGTTTAAAGTAAAGCAACTTTCCTCCGTCCTGATCCTGGAGCGGGGTGTCAGGACTGACGTTTGAAGTTCATTGACCAGAGACAAACGTTTTTGACAGATAGCTAAAAGAAGAGAAACATAGTGATTCCACTGTTTCCCTTCGCATTTCAAAGGAACAAATATTGACAAAGTATCTCAAAAAGGGAAACTTTGTTGCAAGATCAAATAGAAGTTTTCCCCCAGAGGGAGACTGTGAAACTGTAACCAACTCCAGGGAGCCGGCAGCTGTTTACAGATTACAATCGTGGGAATAGGCATTCGACCTTGCAGGACAATGTATTCAGAAGCTTTGTTGTGTGCTTTCTACAAAACAAATGCCCTACTGGAACAGTTACATGAGAAGGTGAATTTGATGACGACTTCGACTAGAAATTTTGAACAGGCAGTGGGAAATTTTGAACAGACAGTGGGAAAATATGTGGAGCCCACCCAGGAATTAAATCAGGGGTGTGTCCTGACAGAACAGGCCCAACAGGAATATGAGTTTTCAGATTTGACAAATGAACTTGGAAAAAGCCAGATTTGGAAAGAAAAAGTTTGGTTTGGCTTGGAAATGGGGGGCTGGATTGACCCCCCTATGCTGGGATGTTTGGACTTTTCAAATCTGGCAATGGGCCGTGAGATGTTTGGGATTGTGGGGGCTCTTAATTTTGTGGGTCTTTGAAACATGCTTTTAAATACCATATGGAATTCAGTGCTGAATATGGAAAAGGGGCTGATCTGTCGAGAAGGGTTAAAAATATTGCCAAGCTGGAGTTACCACGAGCAGGAGACAAGGGAAAATACAGTTACAAATATGAAGAAGAGCTGCAAAAGGGACATGGAAGAGACTTGAGGGCCTCGGATATAAGGTTGCCAGGTTAATGGGCCAGATTGATGGGATAATAAGGACTGACAAAACCCGGAACCAGGAGGAAGGGACGTTGGATGAAGATTGGATCTGTTTGTATTTCTTTTTCTACCATTAGAACTGTTTTATAAAATTGATGAATGTCAGAAAAATGTTGGAATGAAATTACTCGGCTTTAGTAAAGATGTTTAAAGAATTATGAAAGAATATTATGGTTATGAGAAGTTGGTAAGGATAAGATTTAAGTTTTAAGCTTTAAGGTTTATTTTCTTATAGAAAGATAAGATCAAAACTGTTTAGGGTAATGTAATGACAGAATATTATGAAATATGGAAAGGATTTGTTGGGATAATTAATAATTAGGATACAAAGAAAGGGAGGAGGAGGAGGTCAAAGAAAGAAGGTAAATAATTCGAGAATAATGAATTTGTTTTTAAATGTTCTTAAATTGTATTTTTGTTTTTTTGTGTCTTTTTTTCTTATTTTTGTTTTTTTTTAATGATATTTATTAAAGTTTCACAAAAATACAGAAAACAAAGAAAAAAGTATAAATTACAGCAAAAAAGTAAAAAGTAAGAAAAAACATACAAAATAAAACAGTTAAAAACACCAATAATGTTCCATAACCTATCTTCCTTACTCTTATTTCCCCAGACCTCCTCATACCTCCCTTCTTTGTATTCCAATTCAGTTTGTTGGTTCAGCAAATCCTTACCATTAATCTTTTACCCAATTGTTAACCTTTTTTTTCATGTCTCTTAAAGCATTACAGCTAAAAACCTCTTAATTTCTATCCAACATCCTTCTAAAGTTCCTTAATTTTACAATATTTCTGTAAATAGTCCTTAAATTTTTTCCAGTCTTCTTTCACCGACTCTTCTCCCTGGTCTCGGATTCTGCCAGTCATTTCCTCCAATTCCATGTAGTCAATCACCTTCATCTGCCATTCTTCCAAAGTGGGTAGATCTTGTGTCTTCCAATACTTTGCGATAAGTATTCTTGCTGCTGTTGTAGCGTACATGAAAAAGGTTCTGTCCTTCTTTGGCACCAGTTGGCCGACAATGCCCAAGAGAAAGGCCTCTGGTTTCTTCAGAAAGGTATATTTAAATACCTTTTTCATTTCATTATATATCATTTCCCAGAAAGCCTTAATATTTGGGCACGTCCACCAAAGGTGAAAGAATGTACCTTCAGTTTCTTTACATTTCCAACATTTATTATCGGGCAAATGATAAATTTTTGCAAGCTTGACTGGGGTCATGTACCACCTGTATATCATTTTCATAATATTCTCTCTTAAGGCATTACATGCCGTAAACTTCATACCTGTGGTCCATAACTGTTCCCAGTCAGCGAACATAATGTTATGTCCAACATCTTGTGCCCATTTAATCATAGCAGATTTCACCGTTTCATCCTGAGTATTCCATTTCAACAGCAAGTTATACATTCTTGACAAATTTTTAGTTTTGGGTTCTAACAATTCTGTTTCTAATTTTGACTTTTCCACTTGGAAGCCTATTTTCTTATCCAAGTTATATGCCTCCATTATCTGATAGTAGTGGAGCCAATCTCTCACTTTATTTTTTAATTTTTCAAAACTCTGCAGTCTCAATTTATCTTCTTCTTGCTCCAAAATTTCCCAATATGTCGGCCATTTGGCCTCCATATTGAGCCTTTTCAGAGCTTTTGCTTCCATTGGTGACAGCCACCTTGGGGTTTTATTTTCCAATAAGTCTTTGTATCTTATCCAGACATTAAACAATGCTTTCCTAACAATATGATTTTTGAATGCTTTGTGTGCTTTGACCTTATCATACCATAAATATGCATGCCATCCAAATACATTGTTAAAACCTTCTAAATCCAAAATGTCTGTGTTTTCAAGAAGTAGCCATTCTTTCAGCCAGCAAAAAGCTGCTGATTCATAATAAAGTTTAAGGTCTGGCAGGGCGAATCCACCTCTTTCCTTGGCGTCAGTTAATATCTTAAATTTTATTCTGGGCTTCTTGCCCTGCCAGACAAATCTAGAAATATCTCTCTGCCACTTCTTGAAACAGTCCATCTTATCTACAATTTGTAATGTCTGAAACAAAAACAACATTCTAGGCAATACATTCATCTTTATCACAGCAATACGGCCCAGCAACGAGAGTTTCAAATTTGACCAAATTTCTAAATCTTTTTCACTTCCGTCCAACATTTTTCGTAATTATCTTTAAATAAGTTCCCATTTTTGGCTGTCATATTAATCCCCAAGTATTTCACTTTCTTTACCACATTCAATCCTGTCTCATTCTGAAACCTCTCTCTTTCAATCGGTGTTAAGTTTTTCTCTAAAACCTTAGTTTTTAACTTGTTCAATTTAAAACCTGCCACCTGACCAAATTCCTGAATTAATTCTAAAACTCTTTTAGTACTAGATTCTGGCTCCTGTAACGTCAATACTAGGTCGTCTGCAAATGCTCTCAATTTGTACTGTTTAGCTCCGACCTGTATGCCCTTAACCAACCGGTCCTTTCTAATCATATTTAGCAAAACCTCCAGGACCGATATAAAAAGCAGTGGGGAAATTGGGCACCCCTGTCGTGTCCCTTTTTCTATCTTAAATTCTTCCGTGACCACATTATTTACAATTAATTTAGCCTTTTGTTCAGAGTATATTGCACCTATACCATTTTCAAAACCTTGGCCTACCCCCATCCCATGCAGATTCTTCTGATAAGAACAGATACTACACTTGATCTTAGCCAAAAGGCCGAGAAGCGATCTTTTTTTCTTATTTTTGAATTTGTATTTGTATGGTTGGAAGGGGTTTGGTTTCTTTTTCCTTTTCTACTTTGTTAACTATTTTTATTTTGTATTTTCTTCTGCTTTTATTTTATGTTGTAACACTTTGAAAATTTCAATAAATATTTTATAAAAAACAAACAAACAAATTATCTCTGTTTTTTGTGTTGAATATATGCTATATGTTAATTTATGGACCTAGTAGGTATCTAAAGCCATTTGCACATAACAAAATATATATTTTATCAAAGTAATTGTTGAACTGAAATACAGTGGTACCTTGGGTTACAGATGCTTCAGGTTAAAGACTCCGCTAACCCAGAAATAGTACCTCGGGTTAAGAACTTTACTTCAGGATGAGAACAGAAATCGTGCTCTGGCAGTGCAGCGGCAGCTGGAGGCCACATTAGCTAAAGTGCTGCTTCAGGTTAAGAACAGTTTCAGGTTAAGAACAGACCTCCGGAACGAATTAAGTACTTAACCCGAGGTACCACTGTAATCCAATGTGTTTTTACTTCGAAGTTAGTCCCATTAGACTGAATTTACTCCCAGGTAAATTCACAGCTTAAATTTCACTGGACTAGACTACCAACTTTTAAACAGAACCATTATTAAGAAACATGGCCTGATTTTTTTAAAAGCGGTGTTTTTTAAAAGCGGTGGTACCTCAGGTTAAGAACAGTTTCAGGTTAAGAACGGACCTCCAGAACGAATTAAGTACTTAACCTTAAAAAAAAAATAATTATTGATTGATTGACTTAACCTGAGGTACCACTGAAGAATTATCTTTTATTTTGGAAATGTACATCCAGGTTTTTTCCCCTTTAAATTTTTTGGAGGCCCCCAAGAGAGTGGGACCCTAAGCTATAGCTTGTTTAGCTTATACGTAAATCTGGCACTGATCCAAAGAGCACCAGACACTGGTAGTTTAACAAGCACCATATGATGCTTGAGATGAACAGCCTCCCTTTGTTTTTAAAAGTTTTGCCCTTTTTCCTTCTAACTAGGGCTGTCAACTGATTGAAGAATGTTTAGCAGGTTAATTATATTTCCATGCAGAGTGCTAGGGAACGGGCATCAAATGTAGGAGAGCGGAACTGGCAGCTGATATGGAGTCTCCTCGTTACAAAGCATGGTGGTCCATCACATACCGTTAGTGTGACCCAATTTAAATAGATTAAAGGCTGGTTCACACATTACTCAATCTCTTATCTTCACTTGATGATTCAAATGTGTGAACTATTGCCACTGGGGGAAGAAGGTGCATTAGGTCTATTACTTGATGACTTCATGAAAGGAGGAGATCTCATAAATAAATCCTAGAGGGTTAGCAGAATAGGCTGTTGCTGCAAAAGTTCGCTGGCACTTTTGAAGACCAACAGATTTAAAGCAGGAGTGGATAAGTTCTTTTCAGGCTGAAGGATGGACTACCCTGGTAGAAAGCTGAGAGCAGCAGCAGTCCATCAATGGATGGGACCCGACCATAGCTGTCAACCTTCCCTTTTTTGGCGGGAAATTCCCTTACTCCAGTGCCGTTTCCCGCTGCTTCCCGCTGCTATCCCGGATTGTTAGATATCCCATAGACTGTCCCTGGGACAGGTGAGGCTGCTGATCCCATATTTTCAAATCTGAAAGTTGACAGCTATGGGCCAGACCCACACACAACCACACACAGAAAACTATTTCCCATGGAAACAAAGGCATATATATATATATATATATATATATATATATATATATAGTTGTCATATGTCCAGAATTTCTTGGATATATCCTGAATGCTGCAGTCAGAAGCAGTGCCTGGGCTAAAATCGGTAAAATGTCCAGTAAAATCCGGATGCATGGCAACCCATGTCTGCAATGTCATTTTTAGCAATTTCCCTTAAAAATAGTTCTTTTTCTTTTCTTTTTTGCGAATATGCCCCAAAACTTTGGCAGAGCTAAAAAAACAAAACAAAAACCTCAATAACTTTGGCGGAAGAAAAAGAAGAAGCTCAAGAACTTTTCTGTCCAGATTTTCACTGTTTGAAATATGGCAAACCTATCTTAGTAACTCTGTTCAAGTTGCACCTTCCATTTTCTCCATAGACTTTTAAAAATCATGTTTGTACAAAACAAAAACTCCCCAACACCCTTTTTTTTGTGCTGGCTGTTGAAAAGGTCAAAACTCCTCAGTAATCCCAACAGAAAGATGCAAATAGTGTCAATGCACAGTTGAATTGCAAGCCCCACTGTTATTCAATGCCACAGCCTTCAAAATGCAACTGCACTGCAAAAACTGCATGCGTGCATATGCGAAATGCACAGTTCTGGGCATTTTGCAAGGAACATAAGTCTACCTCTCTGCTGAGACATTTCCCCCCTCTGCTTTGATTTTCTTGCAGAGGAAGGAACTGCAATCGCATGCCTTGCACTGTATCTGTGCTGGTCCCAGGGGGAGGTTACCGTGAGGCGTGGTCAGAGTCCGGTCCTGGGTCGAGGGTCTGGAGACTGTCCACCAAGGGCGAAGCGGGGTCCAAAGCGAGGAGCCGGGCAAGGTCGGGAACTCTGGAAGAACAGGTCTGGGTGCTGGCAGAAACAGGTTTCCAACGACATTGCTCCCTCAACCTGGGACCGGGCTGACTGGCCTTTATCTTCTCTGAGGCCAGGGGCGGTCCCGGCCCACAGGTGACCCGCCTCTCCTGGCCTGGAGGTGAGCACTCCTCCTGAGAGAACCCAGTTCCCTCCGCCTCTCTGCCCTGAGCCTCTGCAGCTCAGGAGAGGCTGAAGGGTTACTGGACCCAGGGGGAGGCTCGCCTTCCCCTGACAGGGCTGGGAGAGGCACACCTGTAGGCAATGGGTCCTCAATCACCTCCGGAGCCAGAGTGGATTCATCTGGTGTCTGCTCCTGAGGATCCGGCACAGGTGCAGGCGCTTCAGATTTAAGGCCCTGCCCCGGCTCAGCCGGCGCTGGAGGCGGGGACTCCTGTGCAGGCTGGGATTCCTCCGGTTCAGCCTCTGAATCAGATTCCCAGGCCATCACAGTATCAAAGCTCTTTGCCCTCTCAACTACTCTCTGCTGAACAGCTGATGGAAACATGGGCAGTATTATGAATGTTTGATTGGCTTTGCTGTTGTGCCTGCACCTCCTTCACCTCACCTCACCTTTCCCCCTCTCAAATATGGGCAACAACTTCCATGTTGGGAAGCTAGGTGAACAATGCTGCCTCCACCAGCTGCCCACTACTTATATGTCTCCTGAGTCCAGAAAGAAGGGGGAGAAAACCCTATATTTTTTCAACATAGTGAGGCTGACTGGTGAACCAATGCAGAAGTCAGCAGTAAGCATCACAGAATCTACACTACAGAATCCTATCAAATGGATCTAAGATTCAGGCAATGTTGATGTGACCCTTTTCTACCTAGTAGCCACTGTTGAAGTCATAAGTTTAATGTAAGGTTACCAGATGTCCCCGTTTCCTGGGGACAGTCCCCAGATTTACAAATCAAGACCCCATACAAAATCCTATCATTCCTACTGAAGTTGAAAAGTGTCCCCGGATTCATTGAAAAAAATCTGGTAACCTTACTTTAATGTGCATAAAATGCTGCATTCGAATGTATTGCATTTGGAACGCTGTAAACAGAAGTTTATTTTAAGGAAAGCTAAGTGGAAGGCTGGTGTGTGTTTTTCCATTTCAGAAAGCTAAACTACCTGATGACTCATCCCCTGGAAACGATGAACAAGCTTAGGATCTCTCTCTGGGACCAGAGAGTTTACTGAGCTACATAAAGGGCTGAACCACATTGTCTGAGTGCAATCTGTTATTTTTTTGCCTCTGACTTACTGTAACTAGATTTAAGGCTTTTCTGCAGTAAAGATTTGCAATTCATTATTGGGGTGCAAAAGTTCATTTATTTCTATGCAAGGTCTAGATCAGGGATTCCACTCTAAAAGTCACTGCTTGGTGGTACATCTAAGAGGAAAGTTGGGAAGCTAAATAGTTTGTGGGCACTGCATTATACGTAGTGGGCCACCCACATTCTGCAAATCAGAAAAAGAGTTCCTGGAAACATAATATATACCTATGAAAGGATATTCTTTTTGCTGTTGTTCTTTCAAGGTTTGAATGCAGCAGCAGCCGCCCAGATCTGTCAAGTTTTCTAAAAGTCACAACGTCCTCCAACTGCGGGTATACTTTCCTCCTAGAAGGCAGGTCAAGCCATGCTCAAGTCTCTGAATGATGTGATTGCCGTTTGAAATGAAAATGGCATTGCCTAGGATTCAAAAAACAACATGAACTGGGGCAGCCAGAGAAACGCCTGCTTTGTGCCTTGGTTTTAGATTTCCTCAAAGGAATCTGAGCTATTTTAATTTGAAATAATTTGTCAAATTAGGGCATAACTGACACAGTGTGAAACGCACTGTGACACCCAGTGATATGGTGTACAAGGGAGTCATTAACTGAATTGTGATGATCAGGTGAGGTGTGAAAAGGATCAACTGATACCGCACAAGTGCGCAGTTGTGTTCTCTACTGGGGAGCTGGGACGACTTGTTCCAGAGACTCTCAATGAGGGGGAAAGAGTTAATTGCCACATTCCAGTTGCTACAACTGTGAGTTTCTGGAGAGCTATTTTTCTCCCACATTATTTCAAAGACGCAGAGATGAAAACTTGATAGGTAACCCGTACCATAGTTTAATAGGTTTTCTGTTTCGATAGTCCTAGCAAGTTTAGTACTGATTTTGAGAATAAGCAACAAATATATTTTGTGATCTCGTGTGCTTGGGATCTGGTTGGGAAACCTGCATTTAGATTGCCACGTGCATTCATAATTTGCCTGTACATAGTTAGGTGACCAAGACACTTACTTAATCATGGCTGAATGGTTTTATATATGAACAGAGCCTTTTTTCCCAGTCAGAACTCGCCAGAACTCATTTCCGGCACCACTTAAGTAGGCGCCATTGCCATTATTAGAGAACAAGGGAGGTGTTTATGGCGAGTGTTGGCACATCTTTTTCTAGAAAAAATAGCACTGCATTTGAATAGCAGACAACTGAAATGGGTCTGATGAAAAAACACAGGAAAAAACGCTATAACCAAGTTAGAAATTAGATTATAACAAAATAAAAATTTAAAAAAACTCTATGTAAAAACAGGTTAAGATTTTTCCTGCTCTCTGCCGCCATCTGGTGTTGCATGTTTACAGTGCATCCAAATCATTGTTTCTTTCCTAAGGTAAAAAGGGACCCCTGACCATTAGGTCCAGTTGTGACCGACTCTGGGGTTGCGGCGTGCATCTCGCTTTATTGGCCGAGGGAGCCGGCGTACAGCTTCCGGGTCATGTGGCCAGCACGACTAAGCTGCTTCTGGTGAACCAGAGAAGTGCACAGAAATGCCGTTTACCTTCCCGCTGGAGAGGTACCTATTTATCTACTTGCACTTTGACGTGCTTTCAAACTGCTAGGTTGGCAGGAGCAGGGACCGAGCAACGGGAGCTCACCCCGTTGCGGGGATTCGAACCACAGGCCTTCAGATCGGCATGTCCTAGGCTCTGTGGTTTAACCCACAGTGCCACCCGCGTTCCTAAGGTAGCTGAGTCCTAAGTTTCATGACTGGAAGGAACCATGGTACTGACGTATCTGTCTCCCAGTTGATTCAGCTATAAAGATAAGCACTTTCAGTCCAGGTTCCTGACTACCTCATTTCTCAAATTGTATATTTGCAAATAAATAGGTATCACAACAATGCCAGAAGTCACCAGCATTCTCTTGTTACTAGGAAAGTGATCTCATAAAAGGCTGCATCTGGAACTATTACAGCCCAGGGAAGGGAGTTTGAAACAATATTCCATGTTGAGATCTGGATGCACGTTTTTCTAATCTCCAGATACATGGTCATTTGTACGGTTGAAAACTAATCTACATGATCAAGAATGAAAATGAATGCATAAAACAATTTGCAAAGAAATCATGAAGACTTGCACATAAATACCCACCAGGATTGAGGCATTCTCCCAACATTGCATTTGAAAATGGCTGTTGTTGCCTTTTCCCTTTTGAAAATGAATTCAGCTTTTGGTGAGCGCTATTCTGTTTCTGACATACTTCTGGATTACATCATTCTACATGAATATTTAATGGTGATGTCCTCATTAAATATTGCAGTGTTTCCGACCCATTTGGTTCTGAATGTTTCATGTATTTTACAACCTCACAGAAATCCCTAGTGAATGAGGTGCAACTCACACATGACACAGACGCTGCCTGTTCTTCAAGAAGGAACAAATTAAAGTTAATTCTCTACAGAGTCGAGCCCGATTTAGGTGTCACCTTTTGCACACAAACTCCAAACATACAGGAGGAAGGAAGGATGTGTTAAAACACAGTTTGGGGATCAGAACTGGATTGTTAACTTGGAAACAACAGCCGTGATGTGTTGCCGAGGTTATCGAATCTGAGACATGCAGCCTGGGATCTTTGTTTGCATATAAGAACAAATAACCACAGAAAAACTGAATGTTTAAAAGCTTTATTTTCCTAACCAAGTTATACACAGCTGGGGTGCCCTCTCCCTAATGTAAAGCTGCCCTTGGGAAGAAAAAGAAAAAGAAATTATATTTTGAGGGGTCTTTTTTACTTCCACTTTGAGGTTTTTTGACTTCTGCCTTGAGCTCTCTCTCTCTCTCTCTCTCTCTCTGTGTGTGTGTTTTACAAGCAAGTGGTTTATACATTTTAATTAATAAATAAATTGGACAGATGGGTTATGTTGTTGTTGTTTAGTCGTGTCCGACTCTCCGTGACCCCATGGACCAGAGCCCACCTGGCACTCCTGTCTACCATTGCTTCCCGAAGTTTGGTCAAACTCATGCTGGTAGCTTCGAGAACACTGTCCAACCATCTCGTCCTCTGTCGTCCCCTTCTCCTTGTGCCCTCCATCTTTCCCAACATCAGGGTCTTTTCCAAGGAGTCTTCTCTTCTCATGAGGTGGCCAAAGTATTGGAGCCTCAGCTTCATGATCGGTCCTTCCAGTCAGCACTCAGGGCTGATTTCCTTCAGAATGGATAGGTTTGATCTTCTTGCAGTCCATGGGACTCTCAAGAGTCTCCTCCAGCACCATAATTCAAAAGCATCAATTCTTCGGCGATCAGCCTTCTTGATGGTCCAGCTCTCACTTCCATACATCACTACTGGGAAAACCATAGCTTTAACTATACGGACCTTTGTTAGCAAGGTGATGTCTCTGCTTTTTAAGATGCTGTCTAGGTTTATCATTGCTTTTCTCCCAGGAAGCAGACGTCTTTTGATTTCGTGACTGCTGTCACCATCTGCAGTGATCATGGAGCCCAAGAAAGTAAAATCTCTCACTGCCTCCATTTCTTCCTCTTCTATTTGCCAGGAGGTGATTGGCTCAGTGGCCATGATCTTCGTTTTTTTGATGTTGAGCTTCAGACCATATTTTGCGCTCTCCTCTTTCACCCTCATTAAAAGGTTCTTTAATTCCTCCTCACTTTCTGCCATCAAGGCTGTGTCATCTGCATATCTGAGGTTGTTGATATTTCTTCCGGCAAGCTTAATTCCTGCTTGGGATTCATCCAGCCCAGCCTTTCGCATGATGAATTCTGCATAGAAGTTAAATAAGCAGGGAGACAATATACTCACACCAAGGATCCTGGCTAGCAAGCGAATGTAGGGGGAAAGGTGAGACCTGAGAAATGGAGGTTCTTACAAACACGTTTCCCTTTTGGGGGTCTGCTGTGTAGCCATTTCCTGACTGGAACACAGAGAATACTGCTTATATAGAGATAGGGGATGGAGTAAAAAATCCTATCCCAAAGGATCCAGAATATCATAAGGTTGTGAAGCACTATTATCCACTCTCAAAACACAGAATCTAGGTATCAAAAATGTCTCTATATTGTTCTCTCCACATACATGGGGACATAAAAAAGGTAAAGGACCCCTGGACGGTTAAGTCCAATCAAACAAGACTATGGGGCTGTGGCACTCATCTCGCTTTCAGGCCAAGGGAGTAAGTGTTTGTCCACAGACAGCTTTCTGGGTCATGTGGCCAGCATGACTAAACTGCTTCTGGTGCAACGGGACACCGTGACGGAAACCAGAGCGCACAGAAACACCATTTACCTTCCCACTGCAGTGGTACCTATTTATCTACTTGCACTTGGGTGCTTTCGAACTGCCAAGTTGGCAGGAGCTGGGACAGAGCAACGGGAGCTCACCCCGTCGCAGGGATTCGAACTGCCAGCCTTCTGATCGGCAAGCCCAAGAGGCTCAGGGGTTTAGACCACAGCGCCACCCGCGTCCCGTGGGGAACATAATCCATTACACAGGCCACAAGTATGTGTCATAGTCCATAACCCCACACCACAAAGTTCAAACTTGACCTTCACACCTCGCAATCCCCCAACCTTGTTTCTTTGCTTCACCCTCTGTAATCCAAACTCATTCGCACACACAGAGAGATGCTCAGAGACAGAAATGTATCATTTCTGCTCTCTGCTTGCTATGGGTTGCCAGGGCATTTCCCAGGCTCAGCTTAATGGTTATCTTCAAAGTTGTGGAATAAACTGCTTCAAGATTCATTATTATACGAACAGCATAGGTTTTAAAAGCACAACTTTTCAAAATGAAAAGGGTAGGACAGGATAAGGGGGTATAAACAGTAATGATAATGTATTTTAAAGCATTATATGCAGTGCTATTTTCCTAGAAAAAGAGGTACCAGAACTCACCATGAATGCCTGCCTTGTTCTCTTATAATGGCAATGGTGCCCAACTGAGCTTCCAGCTGAAAAAAGCCCTGATTATATGTAATAAATTGTGAATATATTATCACAGTATATATGGCGCAAGCAAGCATTGATTTACTAGGTTGCCAAATACACAGATTGGCCATGGTGTTTCTGCTTTTTTTAGAGTTGCCAGCTTACTAGATTTAATTAAATACAAGATTTAATTGTGACACACAGAGTGAAAAGTGTGGGCATGTATCTATTTATGTACGTAATTTATAACCTGCTTTTCAGTAAAAATCAATCTCAGAGCAGGTCACCGCATGAAAATACTTAATAAAAGAAACCATATGAAAAATAAAACCACAACGACTAAATTCCATTAACATTTTGCATGTACCTAAAACCCATTTGTGTAGCCCATAGCACCAAATTTCAAGTGCAGTGAGTGCTACAGAGACAGATCTGTTGAAACAACATGGTCCTCCTGCACACTTTGTACACAGGGACACTCTGTGTACCTAGAATCATAGAATCATAGAGTTGGAAGAGACCACAAGGGCCATCGAGTCCAACCCCCTGCCAAGCAGGAAACACCATCAGAGCACTCCTGACATATGGTTGTCAAGCCTCTGCTTAAAGACCTCCAAAGAAGGAGACTCCACCACACTCCTTGGCAGCAAATTCCACTGTCGAACAGCTCTTACTGTCAGGAAGTTCTTCCTAATGTTTAGGTGGAATCTTCTTTCTTGTAGTTTGGATCCATTGCTCCGTGTCCGCTTCTCTGGAGCAGCAGAAAACAACCTTTCTCCCTCCTCTATGTGACATCCTTTTATATATTTGAACATGGCTATCATATCACCCCTTAACCTCCTCTTCTCCAGGCTAAACATGCCCAGCTCCTTAGCCGTTCCTCATAAGGCATCGTTTCCAGGCCTTTGACCATTTTGGTTGCCCTCCTCTGGACACGTTCCAGTTTGTCAGTGTCCTTCTTGAACTGTGGTGCCCAGAACTGGACACAGTACTCCAGGTGAGGTCTGACCAGAGCAGAATACAGTGGCACTATTACTTTACCTGTTGGAGACCTGAGGTAATGCCAGACATCAGATTGATGCCCAAATCTATCCAGTGGTGGCCGTGAGAGTAGTGGACAGGCCACAAACATCGGTCACCTGTAGCAAAAAGGAGAGCTGGTGTTGTTGTCCATTTGGGCTTCTACTTTGAAACTTATTTGCAGGTACAGCATCATTGTGGCCTACACTCTGGGCTTCAGGTTCTTTGCTGCTGCTATAGCCACCAATAGGATATTGGTCCTTTGAGAGATTTATTGCAAGCGAAGTGTGCTAATAAATCTTGTGCCCGCACGCTTCCTCTGGCGTGAGCTTTGCAGAATACACAATGTCGTTGGAAGCTGATTGAAGTCTGAACGCTGTCCTTCTGGACAACAAAGGAAAAAATGGCATGAAAGCTACAACTAGTGTTTATTGTAGTATACACAGGCATGTCGAACAAGTAGATCGTGATCTACCGGTAGATCACTGGACGTCTGCAGTAGATCACTGGTAGAGCATTGGCTCCCCCCAAAGAAGCTGAACAACTGTGGCTCCCCTAAAAAACAGCTCAACATTTCACCTCCACCCTGAAAAACTCAACAACTTTGACCTGAACGCCCCCAAAGGGGGAGGTCACTGCCAGTTTTTAATTGTGAGTAGATCACAGTCTCTTGGGAGTTGGCCACCCAACTATGTAATAAACACATAGATTACTATATACAGATACAGAGTGTTAACAGCATGTACACTCTCTCAGCAAATTGCCATTAACCAATCCCTCATACTCTAACCACCACAGACAGAGACAGACTCTCTCAGAACGAAGGCATATATATAGACCTGCTCTGTTACAGTATAACACTGATTGGCTGAGCTCAGCCAATCCTTATCTTACACCTACTGTTAACCAACCAACAGGCTGTCTCTGGGCAGACTTCTGTCTCTGAGGCAGACTTCTGTTTCTGGGCATGCTACCGAGAATATCTCACAGGGCCCATGACTTTCCTTGGTGCAGCCTTGAATGCCAAAGACCCAGCACCACTTTGCCATGGTAGTGATACTGATCTCCACATGTGTACAAAAAACTCCACAAGCTTTATGAGTAATGGAGGCTGAATGTGCAATAAATAATTTCACACAACAATGTGTCATTCTTACACTGACATCTAAAATGGCTTCCGATCCCATTTTCTTTTGTCATTGCTTCCGCAATATAGCCATTTGTGGACCACATTGATGCCTAGTGCAACCAAACATAGACCCATTTTGTCCTTATTATTATACTCGTTCTCAGTAAAACTAAGGCCCAACTGAGAGGTAAGACTCAAATTCAAATACCAATTCCAAGGAACCCCAAATCTGGTGCTCAGGGTAAAACAAAAACAAAAATCTTCCATGTTTACTTCTGTAAAAAAAGAAAAAAAAGGAACTGTCACCTTTTATAGTACTGAAAAAGTACTTGAAGATGTACAGGCAGTTTCTACTAGAACTCAGCCAACCAAATTGGCTCAGCTCTTCTTGAATGTTCATAGCGAGAGGAGAAAACAAATCCCTCACACACAAGTTATGAGAGGGATGGGGTAATTTCTAAGGATTTTTGCAGTGGGAGGTTAGGTTTAGCTTACTTTATTCACCCAAGGGTGTTCTTTGGATGAAAGAAAGAAAGAAAGAAAGAAAGAAAGAAAGAAAGAAAGAAAGAAAGAAAGAAAGCTTCACTTGCCCTCATCATGGCCAGCAAGACTCTCCATTGCAGCCTTTTGAGTTACTCTTCCTGTGGGAAGCTGTGGTTATGGCTGGGTAGCTTACAAGGCCTTTTAAAAGTGTTAACATAGACCAAAATAAAATCTTCAGACATCTTTTCCTATGAGGTTAGATATACTCAACCCCAAGCTAGTGTAGTTTCTTAGAAATATCCCCTGCCCCTGAAACCACATGAAATCCCTTTTCTTAGAACAGTTTCTGTTGACAGCTCAGACCAGCGTCAGGATTCCCTGCACCTCTCCTTGCTCCTAATTTTCTAGTTTTTACTTCCTTACTGTGAAACTAATCAGCTTTTCAAAGTAAATTTGTTTTCTGTGAAATTCCATCAGTAGGGTATTTACACCCGATGTTAGTCATCATGAAACACCATTGAAATAATATCTAGTGGGTGTGGAAAAGCAAAGCAAAATGATGACTTGTTTCTAGTAAATAATCCAAAGAATGGAGGGATTACATAGCTACAGGATTAGCAAGGTTAGCTAAGACATGAGGCACCATCAGGGCTGGCTAGATGCAGATGTCTACTAGAATTCCTGTACACATACAACCATAGATGGCCCTCATATGAAGTACAAGACCATTTGTACACTATATGAATATTCATATTGGTTTACTCAATGTATTGTTAAACTAGGCAGCATAGCAGCAGTTTCTGCAAGTCTCAGATAAATGGGAGGTGCGTTCCCTCTGTTTTACCACTATAGGTGTTCCAAGTATTAGCAACAGTTTTCTTCATCTATTTCCTCCTCTGTATGTCCCAGATGTGGGTGGCGCTGTGGTCTAAACCACAGAGCCTAGGGCTTGCCGATCAGAAGGTCGGCGGTTCGAATCCCTGCCACGGGGTGAGCTCCCATTGCTCTGTCCCAGCTCCTGCCAACTTGGCAGTTCAAAAGTACGCAAGTGCAAGTAGATAAATAGGTACCGCTCCAACGGAAAGGTAAATGGCATTGTACAATACATTGATTATTGCGGGTGGTGCTGTGGGTTAAACCACAGAGCCTAGGACTTGCAGATCAGAAGGTTGGTGGTTCGAATCCCCGCGACGGGGTGAGCTCCCGTTGCTTAGTCCCTGCTCCTGCCAACCTAGCAGTGCGAAAGCACGTCAAAGTGCAAGTAGATAAATAGGTACCGCTCCGGCGGGAAGGTAAACGGCATTTCCGTGCGCTGCTCTGGTTCACCAGAAGCGGTTTAGTCATGCTGGCCACATGACCCAGAAGCTGTACATGACCCTCGGCCAGTAAAGCAAGACAAGGGCCGCAACCCCAGAGTCGGCCACAACTGGACCTAATGGTCAGGGGTCCCTTTACCTTTACCCATGTCCCAGTAGCAGCCCCTGGACCAGGGGAAGAGCTATTCTTTCCTCCCCATTTCCCATTTTATAAATACAAACTACTAGCAATGCCACTTAGGAGAGTGGAGCTGAGCAGAAAAGCCTCAGGTTTGTTTGTTTGCCTATGGATAGAAAGCAGAGAAGGGGCGACGACCACACCCTTTCCGACTATATTAGCAATGATTTATAACGGCACGGTGTTCTGGATAGCACAGGTTGGAATAGAGGCAGTGAGAAATGGTACCGTCATAGTACAGTTTGTGTGTACAGTGGTACCTCGGGTTACATACGCTTCAGGTTACATATGCTTCAGGTTACAGACTCCGCTAACCCAGAAATAGTGCTTCAGGTTAAGAACTTTGCTTCAGGATGAGAACAGAAATTGTGCTCCGGCGGTGTGGCGGCAGCAGAAGGCCCCATTAGCTAAAGTGGTGCTTCAGGTTAAGAACAGTTTCAGGTTAAGTACAGACCTCCAGAACGAATTAAGTACTTAACCCGAGGTACCACTGTACTATGTGTAAGTAGGAAAAAGCCTCACACCAGATACGGGGACAGGGGCTGCATTTACACTATTCCTTTAAGGCATGTTGGAAGCACATTTCCTCCCTCAAAGGATTCTGGACACAGCAGTTTGTTAAGGGTTTATGGGACCTGTACCTCTTTGCAGGTAAACCACATCGCCCAAAATTACTTGAGGGATATGTGCTTTGGATGTGTTTTAAAGGTATAGAATTTAAGTCTGACCCTTATGGCTATCACCTTTTCTTAAACGATTACAACACCTGCAAAATCATATTAATAAAGTGCTTTCATATTTAACTGGCTAGTTGGAGGTTAATCAGATTGATGCTAAACTGTTTTGAAATCTGCATGCAGTAATCAAAAGGTGACAATGTTTTTCTCCTTGTGAGAAAATTGGCCCTATGCATGTTTAGTTTTACAAGTGAGGCTTTTGCTGCAAATGATGGATGATACTAAGTTCGTTATGTGTTCTGTTTTGCTCAGCTTTAAATTTAAAAAATGAAGAGAAAATGCAGATCTACATTTGGCAGTGACCTCCTTGCAATTAGAAAGTTGCCATTTGAGATTGGATTACTCTGATCTATGTCCTTGTGATCCCCTAAGGGTGTGATTATCTCAAGATAACCTCACCCCTTGAAGCTCTCTACATTGTTAATATGAAAAACATTTGTTTTTGGAAAGAACATATATTTTCTGGTGGGGTGGCATTAAGTTGTCAGATCAAAAAATGCTGAACAGCGGTTGAAATGAACAGGAAAAGTTCAGTCAGATTAGTTTAACCCATGAGGACAGCTCACCTGATAAACTACAGCAGTCCAACGCAAGCTGACACCAAGCAACTTCTTAAATCTGCAAAGAAATCCAGAGGAATCCACATTTCCCAAGAAAATAATTTCATGTTCTCATACTGTACTGATAAAGTTTAAGATTGCACACTGTAGACTGTGGGGTAGTGGTTTTCCTTTGATGTTGCCAGAGTTCTTTGCTAAGGATTCAGCTGTTTTGATATGAGTTTCTGCAGTTCCTATGCAAACTGCCAAAACTGAGAGCTTTATGGCTAGTCTTGAAATGACACACGCACACACACACACACACCCCTTCAAAAAAGGTGCTATTATGCCACTTTTGAAGTCTTTATACCTTCAAATATTAACTGGGCACTTGAATATACATTAAACATTTTAAAAGTATTTTTTATATTGGCATCTGACACACGACTATCCTACAAAAGTTGGATAGCATTCATAAGCATGTTGATATAAATGGATTTATCTCTGCATTGGGCTTTTGAACACTGTATTATTGTTTTCACGACTGCAATATCCCAGATTTTTTATCAGCAGATATCAATGTCCTGGACACTTTATTCCTTCCGCTTTATTACATGCAGCCTTTAAATCTCTTAATTCTGTGGGTGCCAAGCTGTTCAGTGACAAGCATTCCTTCCCCTGCTGAACTGGATTATCAAGCCAAATACAATCAGTGATTCAGCTAGGTAATTTTAGACTTTGGGCTTCATGGTCTTGTGAAGCCCCTCCCTCCCACCCTTCAATGGCAATGTGTATTACTTCACTTCAAAATGCCGTAAGCTGGATTCCAGGGCTTGGAAGCTCTACCTGCTCATTCTGCTGAGCAGGTAGTGCCCTGT